GCGGCACGATCACCGCGGCTCACCGGACGTTTCGCGTCCTGCGGGATTACATGGGATAACTACTCCGACCATTCTATCGCGAGAAGAGTCTCTATCGCTGAACGAATCGCGGTTATCACTGCGATCACTCAAATTCGCGCCCGTATATTTTTTATTTCGGCAATTTCGTCGAGGGAGCTGAATCGTGCGTATGACGAGGCAAACGTGAACGAGCGACCAGCAGCGACGAGACAATGAGGAATTTGAGAAGGGAAAGGATGAAAAAAAAAGAAGGGAGGAGATATGAACGAAAGAGGAGCAGCGTGAAAGAAAGGAGCAGAGAAGCTGCGGTTCGCGCGAGCGACAGAACAATATTTATACTGGCATGGCACGACGTACGGCTGCGGCACCTTCAACGTGCCTCGCGCCGCGCACTTCGGTTATCCCCGCTCGAGTCCGAGGAGTCAATAGACCGCAACAACGCGCGCGCTACTGCTCCTTACACTCTCATGTCGCTCGCGCCATCAGGCCCACCGAGAGGGAGAAAGAGAAAGAAAGAAAGGAAGAGAAAAAATGCCCGTACCCCGCTTCCCGCGTCGTTGCGTGGCGTTCGCCACAGGACGTGAAAACGCGTACTGTGCGCTGCAAATGTAAGGGGCGCGTGTTCGACCCGGGGGAGAGTCTAGTCGTGGCCGTCGTGGGGACGACGACGCACCGTGCGTTAGCGCGCGCAGGGCCCTACGGACGCGGTACGCAACAAGACGGCATCCCCACCACGAGCGGCATTCGGCTTCGCACTGAAAGCCGTACCCGTGAGCCTCTATATAGTCGGCTTGTGCCGCGCGGCGCGCGCCGCCTCTGCTGTCTGCTGAAATGATGCGCGCTCGCCGCTCGTCGCGTCGTCGAGCCAGCCGAGCCGAGGCCGTCAGCCGCGCTGTATCCGAGGTCGCGACCCACGACCGATGCGCGAGACGGAGCAAGACGGAGCAATGGAGTAAAGTCTACGTCAAAGATCACGTGACTGTTCGAATGACAGTGTCATAAGGAATGTAATAATGAATGGGGTTTTCGGACCCCGCATAATGTTCTCTTTAGCGTATGTACAAAATTAAACCTATTCTTTTCAGATCAACTTCTTGCACAATTCATTTTGGGATAACTACTCCTCTTTTCACTTCTTACAGAGAAGATGAATTCTGTAAGGAGTTCAGTTAAAAAAAATTAACTTTTTCTCTAAATTCTTTGGAATAAAATTGTATTCTAAGAAGTAAAAATTGAGTCAGTCTTGAAAAAAGTGGCTCAATTTTCAATCTTTAAGAATGAGATTTCACTCTTTAGAGTGAAATTCACTTTAAAAGTTTTAGAGAATAAAATGTTATGCAATAGCTTTATTGACATCGGTAAACGGAAAGGAATTATTAATCGCTATAATTAATGTATTACTATTTTTTTCTAATATATATAATCTTGGAGATACATTTAAAAATAATTAAAGGAATTATAAGTTACATGTCTCAGAAATATAATTATAATTTGGTATTCATTATTATATATTACTAAATATATTATTTTTATATATGTAAGAGCAAAATTACGAGCAAAACTAAATGAAAATTCAGGATTAAGGGTGCTGTCCCATAACAGTCGGATTTCGGAAAACGGAAAAATACTAGACTAGAATCAGAAGACACGGCAGTGTCTTGGCAAGTTAGCACGCGCGGTGATATACGCGTTGTGTTCGTTATAGTTCGTTACGGTTAAAAATTAATAATTGTTAATAAAATAATTATTAATAAATAATTTTTCGGTAAATATATTGATTAATATATAAGTATTTATTGTTTCCATTATATATATATGATTATTGTTGGGGATAATTTAATCCAAGTTAATTTCAATCTCATAATTTTTGTAAGTTTTATTAATTGTAACAGCGAGCGAATTTCTTTTTCTTTTGTTCAAATTTTTTGAATAAAGAATGAATTAATATATATAAAACAAAACATTTTATTTAAATAGTTTCAAGAAAAATTAAAATATCATGTTCCTATCACTTAATTTATAATAGAAAAAGATAAATTTTATTTCAAAAGTCAATTTTAATAAAAATTATTTAAATTTTTAATTACTATAATCACTCTTTTTATGTTCCGACTTTCTGATGACCAGGTTTCCCATGGAGTGATTTTTTCGAAAAACGGACTATTATTCTACTCTCAAACCGACTTTTAATTAAAAAATTTCATTCATTATCTTCTGTTACAATAAAAAGTACATCGGAATTTTATTTTCTTACAGATTCTTCTACTATATCATAATTATCTTTTTTCATAAAATATTTAAAATAAATTTTCCGATTGTTCATAATTCCGGAAAAATTGGTTCATGGGAAACCGAGTCATGAAAATTTCCGACCGACAAGCAGACAAGCACGCAATTTTGTATATCTCCAACAATAATCATATATATAATGGAAACAATAAATACTTATATATTAATCAATATTTATCGAAAAATTATTTATTAATAATTATTTTATTAACAATTATTAATTTTTAACCGTAACGAACTATAAAGGTGCCTACTGATGGACGCGGCAAATGTCGCTCGCGGCAGCGCGGCACTTTAGAAGGAACTAGATTCTAGGGGTTTTTGAATCACTCTGCGTTGCCGCAAGTGAAGTTGGATTAATCCAACTTCACTTGCGGCAACGCAAAAGTAGCTACTTGTGCGAAATTCAAAAGAATAGATTCAATGATGGCTGGAGTGAATTTCGAGATTTCAAAGGTTAGCGTATATTTATGTTTCTGTATAATACGATTTTAATACAAAGATATTAGAATAATAATGTTACACTACCGTATTTTTTGTTGCAGAAGGTATACACATGTGGAATGTGCGAAACAATTCTTGACGAAGGTGACGTAAATGTCCACGAATGTTTCGTGAATTATCCATCACTTTTTTGTGATAAAAACACCCTTTATTTGTATCCTCAATGTGGTAGGTAAAATTATTTAAAATTTACGTTTTTTAAAAAAAAGGTAGAAAACCGCTAAGAATATTTGTACCAAATTATAAACCTAACCTAAGTGATACTATCTTTACCTTTATTATGTTAATGATATATTTGTACCATTATTTGTACCACATTAGAAAGTAAAACCCAAATAGTACTATTTTTATCATTTATTTACTTAACTCTAATATCTGTCATTTATATAAAAGATGTGATATTAACAATTGATATTAAATTTTTTATTTTTATAAGTGAAAAAAAAACGAAGTAGTTCTGGTTGTGAAGAAGACGTGATGAAACAAATAGCGAAGGCCTTGCAGACCCCACAACCAACACTGCCATTGCCGATTATACCTGTTTTTGACGAAGTTGACAACTTTACTTCGATGATCGCCCATCAGCTACGACAGTTCGTGTGATTCCGCAGACGCGAAATAATGTTAAAAATTCATCAACTCATACATATTGAATCATTGCATGAGAATAATATGTTATAATGATAAAACAGCAATGACTTGAAAATAATTTTAATAAAAAATGAGATTTTGATTTTATAGAATAAATTTTATAGAATAAAGAGGAAAAAATGATTTTATAATAAAGTTAAGAATGTATTAATATATTTATTCCAATAAAATAGTTATAATTTAACTGGACCGAGATACCAAGAAATATCCGCCAACTACTTACGATTATTTAGGCACGATCGAGGAAAATAAAAAAAAGAAGTCGAAAATTAGTTTGCATTATTTAAAGTTAAAATTTCTTTCCTGTGCACATATGGTATACATGGTAAATAACGATTACTCGCGGTAAAACAATTTTTGCGAAATATATAGTAATATCAGAGTTGTCGCAAATTTGCCACCCTAAAATTTCATAACTTTTTATATAATATACAATTATAATATTATCGATCGTTTTGCCATGCCACTGAGCCTTCGTCATTAAAATATTTACAAAACTCGTCTCTAATGAGCATGGCATCCCGAGCACTTGTATTTGTGCTACATCTAGAGATATTCATGAATGCACAACCATCTTCCATAACCGTCCTCCACGAACCTCGTATGTAATCATCTTCTGTCATTTCTCTATTCAGCATACCTGGTAAAATGTTATTGGTTTGCTCGATGTCACTCTTGCGAAGCCAGTTATGGAGACAGATTGTAGCTTGCACAATCTTCATAGTAGTTTCCACGCTGCTAATAATCGATTTTCGATAAATTCGCCACTGGCTAACAAGTATTCCGAAACAGTTCTCTATCACTCGCCTGGCTCTACTGAGTCTATAATTATAAATGCACCGTTCGGCTGACAAGTTATCTTTGCCGGAGAATGGCCGTAGCAAATATGACTTCAATGGAAATGCTTCATCTCCGACAATGCAATAAGGCAACAATGGTCCTCCTCTATAAAAACTATCCGGTTGTGGGATATTTATTTGTCCTGCCTCAAGATGTTGATCTAACTGACTTTCACGAAAGATGCCTCCATCACTTCGCCTGCCATACGCACCAATATCAATGAATCGAAAAATATAATTGGCATCACAAATAGCTAATAGTACAATGCTATGACTATTTTTGTAGTTGTAGAAATTGTAGCCTGCATTGTCTGGACACTGAAATTACACAAAGGTTATTACATATATTGGAATCCATTTATATTGTTTTTTAATTTTTTTTCCAATAGCTTTAGATAGTTGAATAATGTCTGAAAAGAAGTGTAATGAAAGTATAATTTACTTGAATGATTACATGCTTTCTGTCAATAGCCCCAATGCAATGTGGAAAGTTCCACAAATCTTCAAAATCTTCTGCGATTCTCCGCCAGTCATTTTCAAGTAATTAAGATGGAACGACCACAGGACACAGATTGTCCCAAATAATTCTGCACGTTGTAGCAATAATGTTGCTTACAGTTGTCAAGCCTATCGAATATTGATACGTCATTGAAGACATGGAATCACCAGCTGCCAGAAATCTGAAATATAATAGTTGATATAATGAAATATAATTGATAACATTTACATACAACTAAATAAAAAATGTCTACCGTAATGTCAATGTCAATCGTTCTGCTGCACTTATCGGCTCTCGCACAACGTATTGTTTTTCTAGATGCGGACCTACTATAACAACTCTTCGTATTGCGTGGCTAACATCCGAAAATAATTATGGAACCGCAGATCTTCCAATTTCAGTGTTGGCAGCAAGGCATGATATAAACTATGCTCACAGCGTTTTTGAAAAATTGGTGCAACCCACAAACGCTTCTTTTTGTTTCTCCGTTTCTTTTTTTCGACTAATAACAAAGCTAATGATCCGAGTAGTTTATCACGTCGATCTGCTTCTGCATTCTGCTGATTAATTACATGAGTGCACTGCACTAACCACTCATGAATTTTCATTTTCGCAAACATCATTTGCTCTAATCTTATTAAAACAATCCTTACAACTATAACCAGAAACAAGCCTTGTGCTACTATGACAATAAGAAGGTACTATGACAATAAGAAGTTAAGGTTATTTCACTTTTTCGATGTCTTCCAACCAGCGTTGCCAACCTCCGCATTATTAAAAATCGTACCAACAATACAAAATTATCGTATTTTGATTAAAATTATCGTGCATTTTTTTGTTAGATAGATATACATATTTATTAGGTCTGTTCGCGTTGCTTGCACTTTTTGCATTCAGCATCTTCGCTTTCTCTTTTTTTAAAGCCCAAATATATATCTATCTCATTTTAAGTATAAAAATTTTTGGGTTTCAAACAACGCAAACAGATCTATATTGAATAGATATATTTTTTAATGA